ATTTCGAATATATGTGAAGTCCGTCAATCCGTAGTGGGGCCCCGTGGTGGACTATGTTCTGATACTTTCTGTACAGAGGAGGCCTTGGCTCAGCAGTGGGACATTTATAGGCTATTAATTTACTTTTTTACCTCTACAACGTCGACGTGGATGATTTTACGGTTTTTCCTTTTTCATCACTAGCTCTCACTACTAATAGTCTCCGGGCACCAACAGAGGTTAAATGCTAAGACATCTCCTGTAAAAACAGTATTTTGTTATCATCTCTTTAATATTATATTCAACTTAAAATAAACTCCACAGAAAGCAAATGTTTCAACTGTAAACTATTACATAATCTATGTGTGTGGTTAACATCCATTGAGTAATTTTACTTCGCGTAAATTACATAACACCTCCATCTGGATTAAACTATAGTTCTCTTCGGCACCAAAGAAACTAGATACAGGGGATCCGCGTTTAATTATAAACGTTTGATGCCGGTGATAAAAGTGTGCGGTGCGATAGCCTCGCAGCAACACAGACGATAGTTTTTGTGAGTACTCATTAAAGTCCCCCTTTAAAGGCCGTAATAACAGTGCGTGTGGGTCTATCACCGGCGCGGTGATCGACATCAAAGCGATTAAAAATAGCGTCGTAAAGTCCACCCCGTCCACTGTGTAAACGCGAGCGGAATCGTACGATCAACGTAAACATGGAAACGCGCGGAATGACGCGGCCACACGAGATCTTTACGAGCGGAACTGCTAAATGGTATTTGCTACGGTCGACGGTCGAGCGCGTTGGTGTAGCGAACGTATACGACTCTTGTTACCCGCCTAATTAAAGCTGATTAGAGTTGCGATGGAGGCTTTTAAAAAGAAAGATTTTTTTCCTTTCTTTCAGAGATATCATATAAATTCTTGGGAAGTTGCAAATGGTTAATATTGTACACTTCTAAGTTCCGATCTCACGGGTTGTGAGAAACTTATTTTTGTATTTAACAAATTCACAGAAATTCGTCAAAAACGGAAAACTAATTGAAGACGCTAGGACACTCTTTTTAAAATAAATTTGAAAGATATGTACGAGCGTGAATACTTGAATGTACTCAATCAGAAATAACTATAATAGATAAAATTAATAACATTTATTTTGGAAGAAGTTGGTAAATGTTAAACGGTTTACTTGATCCGAAGTTGTAACCATCGTTTAAGCTTCTTCTACGTTCTTTCAGGTGAAGTTTTTTTTTCCAGAAAGTTTAATATACAAACCAAATATATTTAATACAAAAATATGTTTAGCTTTGTACAAATTACTGAGGTGTTACATCCCAGACTTAGTAAGTCCTCTCAAGTTACTTAAAATAATTTAATACTATTTTTACGCAAAGTCATTACTTTAAAATTATTAAGGTATTTCAAAAACAGTTTTGCATTTCATCGGTCATCTGAAAAGGATCATTGTGTAACATGTTAATCATGACAAAAAAATTATCAGTATTTACATTATATGAAACAAGAAACTTCAATTTAGCTTTCATTCAGTCTATGCCAATTAAAATAGTGAATCTTTCTAATTAGCGAAATCCAGCTAATCCAGGTCGAGTGTCATTATCTAAGGACTCACGACATTATCTATTCAAATGGGCAATGGCACATGTAGCTTTTTATCTAGGTTAACCTCAGCAGTGTAGCCTCTGTTACAGTACCGTCAGAAAACAAAGTGTTCTGCAACATAAACTAGGTACTATTTACAAATCCTAATCAAAACTGGCGGCCATCATAACATTAGACATTTGCAACACTCGTAAAGTTGCAGAAACGTTGCCACCTTTTAATAAAGTGCCATGGCTACCTCATTCACCAGAAGTATGAATGTTCCATTTCACGCCGACCTTCTGTGAGGTCGTGGTACTTCCCCGGACGGACCTGCCCATTCGCACAATAGTGAAGACTGTTGCATGGCCTTACCAAAATGCCTCGTTTACTTGGATCGTGGTTGTGAATTGATGGAATAGGATTTAATAGCATTCTCAGTTTATAAAGTGTACAAAAGAATAAATAATTTACAAAAGTGTGACGTAATTAGCTCTGAAGTTTTTTTTTATTGTTCATGTTCTTTAATTTTACCAAAATCACTCTTTTCGCCATTACCTAATTACGTTCCTTAAAGTTAACATTAGCAACAAGTGAACACTTAAAAATGAATTCCGTGGGAAAAATCCTCTAGAAATTGTTAGAATACTTATCAAAGTATACAAATTCAAGATTTTTTTATTGTCATAAGACTACGCCCCTTCCGTTGTTGCACGAATGGGTAGGCTCACCCGGGGAAATACCACATTCACACTGAAGCTTGGCGTGAAATCGAATTTTTTTAAAGGTTGACAACTCATTTTAGAAAAAATAGTAAAAAAATAAAAATAAATATTTAGGACACATTGTACACAACATTTTCTAGTCCCAAACTAAGCAAAGGTTGTATACTAAACAACATTTTTAGGTAAACGTTGTTGCACGAATGGGTAGGCTCACCCGGGGAAATACCACATTCACACTGAAGCTTGGCGTGAAATCGAATTTTTTTAAAGGTTGACAACTCATTTTAGAAAAAATAGTAAAAAAATAAAAATAAATATTTAGGACACATTGTACACAACATTTTCTAGTCCCAAACTAAGCAAAGGTTGTACTGTGGGTACTAAAAAACTGATAAACATACTTATCTTTTGTAAATAAATACATATTATACATATAGAAGCACCCAGACACTAGAAAAACACCATGTTCATCACCCAATATTTTTCCAGTAGTGGGGATCGAACCCACACCCTCTGGCGCAGGAGGCAGGTACACTACCCACTATGCCATTCGGGTCGTCAAGAATACTTATCAAAGTATACAAATTCAAGGTGTTTTTATTGTCATAAGACTACATACACCTCTTCTGTTGTTGCACGAATGGGTAGGCTCACCCGGGGAAATACCACGTTCACACTGAAGCTTGGCGTAAAGTCGAATTTTTTTTAAGGTTGACAATGCATTTTAGAACAAACATCGGGTGAACCGTCAACTCGTTTTCTAATTTTTCGCATAAAAAATGGAATGTTTTATATATTTATTCTTTATTTGCATACTCTCCTAGTCTACCCGGGGCATGGTGAAAATATTTAATTGTTTTAAGTCACTCACGATTTGAAGTAAGCATTCTTTCAAATCACATACATAGGTACACAATTCGTACTACAAGGATTTAATTAACTAATGCTGCTAATAATATCGTATTATGCTTTAATATTTATATAATGCAAGTGACATAAAACTGTATCAATATTAAATTTTTCAACTGAAATTGACTGTCATCTACACTTAAGACAATAATATTATAAATTATATCATTTTGATAGAAAACTAATTGCTCGTTAACGATTTAACGGACCTATAGAGCAGATTTTTTAAGATCTAATAAATTATCTAGCGCATTTCAGACAGTCCATTAATTCACTTAAAAGGGCATTTAATAAACTAACAGAGTGTAGTGAAATTGTTTTTTTTTTTTCCTTAAATAAAATATCGTTTATACTGATTAAATTTAAGACATTCGCAATGTTATTACAAGCAATGACATTTTATACTATTTTTATTATGATATTTATGACCGTTTCTTTTATCATTTTTATTTTTTAAAGTCCTATACCTATTTATCGGAAAACTCGTGATTAATATGACTACTGACTGTTTAATTGTAACATTTTGTTTACCGTCTGGGAATAGCGGAAAAGAAAATGTAAAATGTGTTTGTGTTAAAAATAGGTTATTTCCATGTGTCTTGTCTTGACTTGGTTATGTTCATGACTAGATAGGAATGGTTAGATTTAACGTAAAAGTTTATTATGATATATAAAAAGAGCGATCCAGTACGATTAAGTAAGCGATAGACAAAAAATATCAACATAGCACATTCAGAAGGAAAAAAAAACTTTAAGAACAAAATTGCCCAGAGCTGACATATTGTGGGATTATTGGCCAATATTTTAGTACTCCCTCGGGTGTCTGGCTGGCAATGGGCACCCGCTTTAAAAACTTTTATCATTGTACGGAACCCGTCCAATTTCCTTGCTTTATGATTCACCCGTTACAACTTCAACTTGCCGAGCAGTAAAGAGAACTCGTGCATTATTGAAAGTCCGCAATAAAATAATGACGGCGGAAGTTTTTATAAAATGGTAATACATTCAAACTAGACTCTACGAGCGACGTACGTTATTTTTTTAATTTTTCCTTCGCTGGTGGAAGTTGGATAGAAAAACAGAACATAGGGCAGAATAAAAAAGAAATATATCATCATATCTATTGGTTTCTCTCCCTAATCGCGTAATTGAATTCGTTCACTAATAAATAGTCGCAGAATGCACCCTATGAGGATATATTATTGTCATTATAGTTTTTGAGATTCAAACAATATTTATTAATGTGAACTGTTAGATACCCTCACAGCCTCAATGAAATTTTTCTTACCCCACGTACTCTACTTCTATACCATACTAGTGGTCATGGAATCAATTCTCTTCAACGACAAAAATTACTGATCTCAACAACCTGTTTACTACTTCATAGTGTTAATGTTATGTTTCGAATTCTGAGCAATTAAAAGAATACAGTTCTTTTCTTTGTCGGTATTCATGGCGTCTTCTGACATTATTTATCATCGTTTTCATACTGATAATGTCATTTTCAAATTTTCAAAAGGTTGGATTGGAGACCAATTTTCAAAAGGTTGTCAACGCACCTGCAACCCTCGGGTGTAGCAGATGTCCGTGGGCGGCGGTATTCACTTAACATCAGGTGAACCGCCTGCTCCATTGGCAACTTTTCACATAAAAAAAATGTTTTGAATTCTCAGCGATTAAGAGAATATAGTTGTTTCTTATCTTTGTCTGTATTCATGGCGTCTTCTGACATCAGTCTATTTTTTTTTCCTCACCATATTTTGTACTCTACACGAAGCTGTGCCTTTTAGCAGACCAGCGCTCTTTCGCTGTCGGCGCGGTCGTGCAAGGTCTCCCAGTTAGCATAAACGTAGCGACACGTTTTGAATAACATTAACTCGCTTATTTCGAACTTGGCCAGATCGGTCCTGATTGTCCCAGCCCTGTGAAGACTCGAATCCGATAAAGGAATACGTGAATCGCCCGCCGCCTCAAATATGGACGAGCAGAGATCGAGCCACTTCGGGTGAAGTATATTTTACAATTTTCAAACATGGAATAACTAGCTTTTTCGCAAAATTTATCGCAGTTCCTCAGGAAAGAAACTACTCTTTTCTGAGATGAGAAGAATACTGCGTCAAAAAGGGGTCTATATTTACAATGGCCTTTATTGGTGTCTTCGCCATTACATATTGCATATTACAATATTTCGCATAAAATTAAACAAGTTCCCGCGGTCTACCACTGCGGAATAGTACAGAGGGTATCAGGGTTACCCTCCTCTGCGAAAGGGGAATACCCTGATACCATCTGTACAGTGGCCTTTGCTGTTACTTTACTTCATTTTAAAAATATGCTGTGAAAAATGCTAACGGCTGGCAAAGAAAAAATATTTTGACTCCTTGGCGTAGGTGAAAATCTTGGCCTTAATAACCATTGAATAGACTGCAAGTCTTTGAAGTACAAACATAGCGCCGTCCAAGAAAACACTTTTCCGGCGCTGAAAGATAAAGTAGACTCGAAAATTTTGTAATCAGGGGTGCTTGGCTCCGAAGCATCTCCCCCCAATCCCGCAACGTGGGCCGCTCCTATTTATTTTTCCATTTTTTATCCTCCAACCTCTAATGATCTCTAATGAAAAGAAGCCGATACAGCAACATTTTTTCCCGCTTTACACTCGCAGCTCTTTGAGATATTCCGTTTCAACATGGCCGCCTCATCGTCTATAGTTCGATGATTCTTGGATATTTTTCTTTTCGATGAAAAGGTGTTTGGACGGTGTTGAAAGAGGTCTCTTAATTTATATACTTTTTTCACAAACACAGTACAACGCGGCAGACGTTGATGGTAAATAAAATGTCAAATACATTTACTGAGCGATAATATTCGAATTAATACAATTACATGTAGGTACGTAATAGTCACAGGCCTATTTAGATAAAGAACTACACTTATTAGAAAATACTCTATAACCGAAGATCTGTGTTTAAAAACAAGGGAATCGAAATGAGTTGTTTTCTTGAAAAAATGTGTACATTTAATGAATACTTTATTAGATATTAAGAGCCTTATAAACATTTAGATAAGATTTTCAGTTTTGATTTTCTTGTTTTAAATGTACATTGAGGAGAATTCATTATATCATATTTAAATAGGTCTTATATAACGTATATTATCAAAATTTGAAGCCGAATGAAGCCGTGGGAATCGAACCCACGTCTTCGTCACTCTCGGCCTGAAGCTTAAGCCACTAAGCTAAACGTATATTATTTTAAATATATCATTAATGGTAAAAAATCACGAAAAAGCTTAATGCCCGGTTTCTGAAACACTGATCATTATAGAATTTAACTAATTAGCTGTCAAATGGCTATTCAAATGTTATTTAAGTTACCAAAAGGATGGTTAAACTCTCTGAATTGATTAGAATAATCATTTTACGAAATTTTTCCAGAGCTGCGAAAGCCATTTAAAAATCATCTTTAGCAATAATGTTTGGATGATTTCAACTCATTTAACGAACAATAAAGAAGAGAGAATAAAAATGTTATTTAACCGAGCCGGTAAAAATATTGGAACAGTGGCGAATTATTTTTAATAGAACACATTTTACTTACATGTCCGTCACCGGTGAATTGAAAATAAAGTTAGAAAACGTCGAGTACTTACAGTCAAAGCAGGTGGATCAGTGCGGGTGAGTTTCTGAAAGGATTTCGTGTGCTTCATCACAACTTTCTTATTGTTATTTCACAACCGCCGTTCACGTCGAACATCCAGTCATCGATACGGATTTTATCGCGACCGCAGTCGTTCCTGTGGACGGCCAAGTGCCATTAAACTGCCGGTTTGTAGTCGCAAGGAGCGTGGGTGTAATGAGATTTGTTCGATGCTTAGTACAAAGCGAGCCCGGCGGTACGCTTCTTCGGGAAACTAATGATCTGGTTCCTGAACGCACCGCTGCCCGTGACCGTCACGGGGCCGAATGGATATTGTGTTTGTCAATTAATACTTAATTGATTTACCGAGCATTAAGGCCATTGTTCTACCTACGGATGTTTGGCTGTGGACAAATGCAAGTAATTCATAAAAAGACCGGTGCAGCTCGAGCACAAACAATGCTCTATTGTTGTAATGAATTGTTTTGTTGGGTGTTTCTAAAACTGCCCGCTCATCGAAACCTCTCATTCCGCCCACATGTTCTAATCGTTACAATACACTTAATTACTTATTCTAACCGGCTACCCCAAAACAATGCTGGTTGTGACACACTTTAAATAAAGTCAAATGTAGAGTGAAATGTAACTTAATTCCGCTTCGAGACTCAGTCAATTATGTTCCATAATGCATGCAAAGTTATGATATCGCTGTGTAACTAAATCATTTCATTCTTCCGCTCTAATGTTACATTTTGCTTTCTCCGTTAGCGTTAAAACGTCGTCAGACGTCAACTTTGTCGACAACGCGTTTCTAATGTTACAAGCTAACCGACGCGTGTTTACATTTCGCTGGGTATCAAACAAATCTCATCGCATCGACCGCATCCGTTGGTGTATCTCTTGAAACTTTAATCAAAGCGACGATGAAACCCACCACGTCACTTCACACCGAAAAGAAATCCGTTGATTCCCGTCCGCAGCGTTTACTCACAACACTGATATCAAAGGTGCGCGGTAGGACGCGGCCCGCCAAGTTTTGTGGGGCGCACTATCTGCGAACAAACATCCCTGCACTAGCGGTCCGTTGATCGCGATGTTACGGACGCGGGAGAGCCGGCCCGCGACGATACACCTCCCACCGCGGTCGGAAAGCGACTGACTGAAAATTATGTTTGGCTGCGAGCCGCACCGGCTATTGCATCCGAGAGCGAACGAAAGCGGCCGAATGCGATTTCGTGGCGCGATAGAGACGGGGCACACGTGGCAGCAGACGGAGGGAGAGGGACGCTCAGGTGGGGTGGCGGCGGCCGGAGCGCTGGGGTTTTGTCTATGCAGGTTGGGGATTTGAGGGAATGCACTCGGCCGACAGACACCGCCGGGCGCAGATAATGCAAGACTGGACGCGATACGACCGAGCTCGATGACGCAACTGGCCCGAATCGTGGCCAATTTTCTTAATGGCCGCCAGAGGATGGAGTAAGTGCACGATAACATCGCCTAGATATAAATTAATGGCTCGTCACGGACGAGCAAACGAATTGTGTCAATAACTACTTTAGTAATTTACGCACAATTGACTTTACTCGTCGTGATAACGGTATCATAAACGAATGAAACTACTTTAAATTAGTTGCTGTTTACGACCGACTAAAATCGGTATGAACGTTTTGTTGTATACAAATTTAGTGTAAGTGTATTTTACATTCTTTTAGGTTTTATGTCTTGAGTTATAGCGTTTCTTACGATATTTTTGAATTATCAAGTTTATGCGGCATTGCCACGTTCCAATACACGTTCAAATTACTAACTACAATACCTCTTCAGGTGTATTCTTTCCTTAACTCAAGTTACGTACATAACTACTGACGTGAGGTATTTTTATTATAGCAATGTTGTTTTGCAATAATGTTATGTTAACGAAATATCATACAAAGCACACACTAGATCTTTCTTTACCTGTGCCTCATAGAGTCTTACGATAGAATTTAATTTTCGAAAGATTCACATCTTTCATTGTAACGCATAGAATACCGGTGCAGATTTCAGTCGTTCGTTGCTTAAACATTATTGTGTCTATAGCAAGAACGTATGCTTTTCCGTCGTTGGCGTCTCTTGACTTTTCTTGGGGAAGATATCCCCTGTGTTAGGATCACGCAGCTTCTTTGCTGCACGAATGGGCAACTTGTCCGGATAAGTACCTAACATAAGACCGGCCTGAAGTGAAAGATACTTTCGCGTTTCGCCTGGTGAGTGTAGTAACTGGTGCCCAATTTTTTGTATTTTTACTTTTTTTAACGCATTTGCCAACCCCAAGGCATCGTAGATGTCCATGGGTTGTGGAAACCACTTCAGGAATACGGGCAATTTGTTTCGACCGTTTCACATATAAAAGAGAATGTACTTTATATAGGATTGAGATCTCTACAAGAAATTGGTAGAGTATCTTTGAATATTAAATATAACAGACATATAAATTTTTCGTTTTAATTTCTTTCTCCTATGTACTCATTTAATCTAAATCGAAATAAGAACCATATACACGGGGTTATTTCTATGAAATTCTAATCCATATGATATACAAGTCTATTTCGAGTATAATTTTTCTCTATAGTAAAAAACCTGGCCAAGTGCGAGTCACCTTGACATGAAGTGGGCCCAGGCTACCTCACTCAGCAGAGGAAATGCAGAAGTGCAACACTTCTACTTTACGCCGGTCTTCTGCGAGGTCGTGGTACTTACCAGGACGGACCTGCCCATTCATGGAACAGTGAACACTGTTGCGAGGTCCTACTACGGTTCAAGTCGGTTTTGGTAACAGGGTCCCGTTTTACCCTTTGGGTACGGAACCCTAAAAACCGAAAAGACGCGCACAAATACACAGCTCGTACAAGAGTTTAATAGATCAAATATTGCGCTCAAAACGATAAAAAGCTTTTATACTACTTAACGCTACAATACGTACATCTCTAAACGTCGAGACGTATTAAAATCAACGATCGCGCCGAGCGTCCCGCGGAAATGCGGCACAGTTTATGAATTGCCTATTTCGCGAAATTAAAGAGGCAATAAAAAAATGGAGGCAGCACCGCCAAAAGGAGCGGCTGAAGCGCGGGCTTTGGGTTTTATTAAAACGTCGCTCAAATGCGGCGATAAATGTTCAACACGGGATTGCAGTTTTATGTTTATGTTTACGCCACACTGAAGCGTGCGGCCCACGTCCCGCGTCTCCCGTCCACGTCCTCTCACATTTGATTGCATTCGTTCTCCTCTCTCCTGCTCTACTGTTGTTCTGTCTCCCTCTATTGATACTATCAATAGAAGAGAATAAAATAAGCTCTCATTTTCTACTGTTGCTCTCCTCTATCGATACTATCAAAAAATAAATTTGTTAGCAATGTTACTCTGCCTCTTTGACAAAAAATAAAGGACATAATAAGACTCTTGAAAACCTAAAAGGTAGGTTTTACTTGATAAAAAAAATTTTGTGTGTCCTTATGTACGCACGTTAGAAGTTATACTTCTTTAGGGTTAAGACATTCAATGCAATGAATAACAGTTTATTTGAATAACTTCGAATCATTGGTTAATGTCAAAGTTGTTACTGTTTGCCGAGATTAAATTGGTTACCAAGAATTATGTCGTTTTTTCAGGGTCGGTGTGCGCACGCACATAACAATGTTACACTCATAGTTTTTCCAAACGCGCCAAAAGAAGCCATTTTTTCAAAAATACGTGATCATTTACTATCAGATTAGCCACTACCTCCTTCGCCATCTCCTTCATAAAAAACAAGGTAGATCTCATCGGTATCTTTAATTAGAATGAGCCGCATGGGACTCGAATGCTTGAAAAGGGCGAACATAATAATTGGGCGTATTTAACTCTAGATTTCATTTTCTATTTAACACTTTCCATCGTCGTTGAACTTAAGGACTTGAATGAAAATTTATTACATAAATAATTTTTGACCTCTATTTTTTCTGAATTCGAAATATGAGTTTGTATAAAGAATTGAGCTGATAGTGATAAGAAGGTCCAAATTGAAAATCTAAGTTCAATCTTAAATTAGTTCTCTGTTTTTCAACCGAATTCCAAAAAGGAGGAGGTTCTCAATTTGACTGTATTTTTTGTGTTTGTTACCTCAGAACTTTCGACTGCGTGAATCGATTTTGATGATTCTTTTTTATTTGAAAACTGGTGCTTCCCTTGTGGTGCAAAATTTATTTCATTAGTATTGTGTCTAGGGCTCCGAAAATACGTAGGGAACTCCTGAAAATCAATTATAAAATGAAAACATAGCGAGATATTTGAAGTCGGTTTTGTTTTTCTTTAATAAACTTATTTTTTTTTCACCAGTTTGATTCCTGCCACATATATACGTAACAGGTACAAATTTAAAATATACGCAGGCGTGTACTTGTCGTCAATTGAATAATACTGTACTTAAACATTAACTTAACAGAAACATTGGTTAGCCTGAGAGAGAAACGTTTAAGTGGGTGTGACTCTGGCAGTGACAGTCGCTAGACGTTTCAAATTTAGATTGACAGTTATTGTTAGCTGAGTGGCTTGATAGAATGGGTGCCGACGTTTGACGTACAAATTAACATATCAACGATGAGCACACATGGGGTTATTATCCTCTTAAGGGAGGAATACTAAATTAAACGTCATTTACACTTACTACAAAAATGTTACTTGGAAAAAATGAATGAAAAATGAAAAAGGATGGATCGAGAGTTTTCATTGTGGTAGGGCCGCGTAACAAATTCCGCTGTTGAACTATAGGCAGGCTCGTTTCAGAAATACCACGGGCTACGGATAGACCAACAAAGTTGCATTGTTATGTTTTTAGAATTGGGAGAGTGAGAAGCGGGGCTCGTTGTGTTTAAGATTGGTAACCGATCTGCTCTCTCTCAGATATTGTGGATATCCGTGAGCCGAGATAGCCCAGTATTGGGATGCCCGCTTTTATTTCAATATACCTGAGCAACCTGAGTTGTAATCCCCGTGCCGGCACCAATAAATATTTTCTTTGAACGTTCAAGTACTGACTTATTACGTGCTCAGCGATGAAAGAAAAAATCGTGCATGTTTTCGAAATAATAAAATAGCCACCTACCGTCAAGTGAACTACTTACTCGATTAATCCATACTAATATTATAAATGCGAAAGAAACTCTGTTTGTCTGTCTCGCTATCATGCCAAAACAGATCCTGAGAAAGGAAGGCTATTTTTTAATTGGATTTTTTTTAAAGGAAGATATTTTAGGGCTTCAACGCGAGCGAATCCGCGGGCGAAAAGCTAGTTTGAATTAAAATAAATTACTTCTTACTTCACTTAGTGCCAAGGTGAATATTTTTTTTTTTTTTTTTTCAGAAGGCATTTTTAAAAATAAGACGGGATAATATTAGTCGCGCCATTCAAGAAAAAGTTTAGTACATATCAATGTCGCAATAAAATGCCGGACGATATCCTGCAAGACGAGGGGAAGCAGTATGAATTGTTCATAAAGTCCTAACTCTATCGAAGCTAAGATATATAGAAATATACCCACAAATATCTGGCTTTAATAACCGATATTGATTATTATATTCGAACTCTACTACTACAAACGCAATAAATTAAAATATTTTTTGTATTTAGGAATATAAAGTTATCTTAAAATGATTTGTAAAGTTTAGAATTTTTTTTAAAGTTCATATATCATCCTTTATTGTATTCATATGCATGCAAATGTGAAGTTAAGGCACGTCCGACCAAAACAAATGTGTCTGTTGTACAGTATTGGTAGAGTTTCGACCGAAGTTATTCAACCTTATCGATAAACTGATCCTGTACATCTTAAGCAATTAAATTATTCTTCCATACTTGAGTAATAATAAATTTAGTAAACCGACCTTTTTCTAGATTTGCATGGCTATTAATATTAAAATGCCTCTCAAAAAGGTAAAGATTTTATAACAGCGACCAGTTCAGTGTACACAACTCTTTCTCACTTAAATTAGTAAATATATCTTATAAAAATCTTTCCTTTCAGTGTGCTTTGAGCTTATCGCCCACACGGTAGTTAGGCATATAGGCCGTGTTCGCACGAATGGGACACAGCAGATCGTGGGCGAAATCCTGATTTTATTGGTTTCGGCTCTACATTACTTATTTGCTTTAGTTTTTAATACCGCCGCCCGCAAACCGTACACGGCTTAACAAACTCAATAACGAGATCACAGTTCCTTAACATTCCGTAGGTATCTGACTTTTTCGTACTGTTGTTTGAGGTGTTGATATCGTTTGCGTGTCCGTATACGGGAAAAACCTTCAAAGACTTTCAAATATACGTTCAAAAAGGAAAGATATAAAAATTACTTAAACATATACTACTGTCAACGTACTACTGATATTCAAGCGAGTGACTTGACAGAGTTTCGTTAAGTCGTAACTAGTTGCCCTGCAAAATGTCTACACATTAACATAACACGCATTTCGTTCTGGA